ACGGCGCTGCAGCAGAAAGACCAGATCCTGCTGGACCAGGAGACCATCCGCGAGCTGTCGGGCAAGCTGAGCCAGTGCGAGAGCGGCCTGGAACTTAGTTTCCAGGACAGCGCCTCTCTCTGGGGGGGGCCCCGCAAGGAAACCATGGGCGACCTGCCCTGGGACTCCTCCACCATGGTCCAGGAGCTGGAGGAGGCTGTCAGGGCCCTGAAGGACAGGATCGACAAGATAGAGGTGAGGCACCCAGCTGCCTGCTTCCTCCTTCCCCTGCTTCCCTTTGGGCCCATTGGGCTGCCGTAAACCATCTTGTGGACTTGTTGGACAGAGAAGTCTTGGGAATGGAGGGAAGCAGACTCAGTGGCTCAGAAGGGCCCTTCCAGCCCTGAGATATTCTGTTGATCTCCCCACTCCCCTAGCCCCCATACCCACACCCTGCCCTTGCTCCTCTCCATGGCTTTCCCAGAAGCATGCCAAGCAGGGTGGGGGGAAGGAGGTTTCATTGCACCTTAATAACACAGCCAATTAAACCCAGAGATGGGGCTTGCTTTGGTAAATCAGCACCTGCCTGGCAAGCCATGAGTGTCTGGTTCTGGGAACTGGGGGTGGGTGTGTGGCCAAGCATGTGTTGGTGTGTATGGACTTACTTGCCCTCTCCTCTCTGGCTTCTCCCTGCTCTTGGTGCCAGATTTCCTGTGGTAAATTGTGACTATGGCAGCAATCTGAGGTGGATACACATGGATGGACATTTTGTGAATGCACAGAGGACTGACATCCCATGTCTCCTTCAACCCTTTCTATCCCCCCTTCCCCATTCTCCCCACAGTGCCCCACTAATGTAGGACTATTCCTTACAGAATATTTCCCAGTCCTTTTTCCAGGCCATTTTTAACTTACTCCAGAGGGATGAAGCTTTCATCACTTTCCTTGAAGGGCTAGTATCTCAGAAGGAGACTTGGGGAATCTCTTATGTACCTGTCCCAAGGTTTTGCAGGGAATCTGCTCTTAAGTGGGAGTGTGTCTCCCTTTTACCTGCACCACAGGGTTGCTTTGAATCCCTAGTCATCCCTGTGCCTCATATGCCCAGGCTTCCTCATTGTGCCAGCAAGGATTTAGGACCAGTTTCTGCCCCTTTTGCTTATGCCACATAACACCTCACTCTGGGAAAAGTCCTGCTGATGACTTTATGTGAAGTTAGGGTGGCAGAGTGGGGCTCTATCAGTCAGATTCTGAGGTCCCTACAATCAACATGTTTCTCACTTGGCAGGAAACGCTGCTGATTTCAACGGGGCTTCCTGAAAAGTGAGGTGTCATCATGTTCTCAGCAGGGACAGAATATGACCTGAGGGTGATTTAATGTTTAATATTGTCTCCATAAAGGAAGAAGGAGCCTTAGAAGCCAGGCTGCAAATGTTCTTGTTTACACTGTGGTCTTCTCAGCCTGCCTGCAGTGCTCTTCCCTTCCCATCCCTCAGCTGGGACCTTTGCTCTGCATTTCAGCCTCCCATCTGCTTACAAATGGACAGTAAAAAAACCCATGCTAAACTGGGCAGCTGGGGCTGATAGTGCCCTGTGTGCACACATGTGCAAGTGTGCATGCATGTGTGCATACATGTAAATTGGATCCCCATACTTTTACTGGCTGATGGTGATCTGAGAGATTAGTTCTACCTTTGCACAATGATTTAAATGTTTTGCTTATTGAATACCTGCTGGCTAGAACTTTGTACCAGGGAAACCTATTGGCCCTATGTAAATTCACAGGGTGAAATCCTGTTTCCACTGAAATCAGTGGGCTTTCTGCTATTGAGTTCAATGGGGCCTGGTTTCATCTAAGGCATATAGTGTGTCATTGAAGACCTTGATGTGGAGATGTCTTACTGACAGCACTGGGGCAAAACAGAAGTCCAGAGAGCTAGGACAATAGTTTTGGCCTGTGAAAGAGCTCACTGGGGAGCAGATCACTCCCTTCTATAGAAACATCCTCAAGAGGGGACCTGCTAAAAGGAGGGAAATCCTGTGTGGAGCTTTCTCCAGATTGTTCTGCATATTTCAGGGGAGCATAGGGTTTGCTTTGTACAGCCAGTGAATCTCTTGAGGTCTGCCAGGGGCCAGATCTATCTACAGAGACCTATGTGTCTTAACCTAATCCCAGGCCCAATGTTGTCCCCATTAATTCTCTGGAAATTTATATCTAGGATTCATAGAATTACAGAAATGTAGGGTGGGAAGAGACTTCAAGAGATCACCCAGACCAAATGTCTGCACTGAGTCAGGCTCAGCTAGAGCAAGACCCTCCCTGATGGATGTTTGTCTAACCTGTCTTTAAAATCCTCCAACAAAGGAGGATCCATGAAAACCCTACACAGCCTATTCCAGCTCTTCACCAGCTCCTAAATAGATGAAATTTTAAAAGAGGGTCCTCAGTGTGGAAGAGTGTGGAACATGTATGAAAAGTTAATTCAGCTAGAGACTAAAGGTGTGTGAAAAGCAAGGCCCTGGCCTGGTTCCATTAACATGAAGATCTGTCTCCCCATGTAGGGATCTCTGAGGATATAAAAGGGAGGAGGATGTGCCATGGAGGCTGTGCATCACATAGGAAAGGAGAAAGCCATGGATGCCAGGAATGCTTTAAACATGGATCCCAGAGATGGGTGGAGAGGATGTTCTCTGTCCCATAGATACCACAGTTGGTGATGAATGTGTTTGTGAGACAGAGAAAAAGACAATAAGAAAAAAAACACAGACTTAATCACACAAAATGATAGGCACACACACACAGAGATCACACAGTGACAGAGATATTCTCACACACACAGATCTAAACATAATATATAAAGCTACTAAGATTATCTATATGACAGATGAGCTGACAGAGAAACACAAGGAGAGAAAGACAGTCTCAAAGAGAGACAGATACACAGGCAGATGGCAGGACAGACAGAAAGACAGAGACACAACACATGCTACAAGGGACAGATGCAAGTTTGCACATACACATAGAAAGAGAGTGAGACACACATGGAGGGACAGAGGCAAAAGGTCCAGTGAAATACCAGGGAAGATCACACACACAGAGCAGGGAGAGAAAAAGGGACACAGAGAAACAAAGAGAAGACTATCTAGCAACCACAATGGCAGACAAACCCAAGGGGCAGGAATACACACACACAAGAGACGGACACACCTATGGGGAGACAGAAACACCCAACAATGGACAGTGCGGAGAAATGCATAGATTGAGAGGAACGCACAGGACAACACAGAAGCATGCCCAATGCTAAAACATGACAGGTAGCCACCCAACAGGTAGTGGTGCTGGGCATACCCCAGGAAGTGCCTACCTGACAATTTTTAGTATGTGGTGTACAAAGAGTAGGGAAAGCAGGCAGGTAGAGTCTTCATGGCTCCTAGCACTGTCCAATAGGTACATCCAGAGTAACACAATCAGACATGCCCCCCACACACAAGCATACAGCAAAACACCTACAAGGATAGAAAGGGGGAAAAGTCTCTCTCATACAAACAGAGGGAGGCAGAGAGAGAAAAGAAACCCACCCAGAAGGACAGAACAGCACAAAGACCAAGAGCATATACACATTAGAGGATGTCTGTGATGCTTAGTTTCATTGAACATCATGAGGTGATGAGGTAGACACTGCATGATGCCTTGTAGCTGTATTCATATGTTAACTGTCATTGTTTATCATACTTTGGTCCAAAAAGCAACTTCATACATACTTCAGGGGCTGCTGGCATAGTATATTCCTGCTTTAACTTCTGTCCTGTGTTTTCTTGCCCCTGCAAGATGTCCGGGGAGGCGGGGGCAGTTGGGTTTTGGGAAGGTACTATTCTTAGTGCACCCTCCTTCTCCTGTTTCAATATGTTTCTGTTTGAAGAGGCACAAAGGGAGCCAAGTGCATCCACCACCTCCCTGCCACACACACAGTTATGGCCAAGTCATGCGCTCATTTCTGCCAGTGAAATCTGAACAGTGTCAGTGAGGATGCCAATGAAAGCAGCATTTGGCAGGGAGAGGGATGGAGCAAGGCACATGCATCCAACAAAATACCACTCTGCAACAAGAGGCTACTCAAAGGCTGGTGGCAAGTGTGGTCTCCATGGTATCATCTTGGAATCCAGAGCTGTATTACTAGGTCAGAGCTGGAGCAAACCCATTAGATTGCACCTGGCTTCTGCAAGGCAAGACCATCTCCTACAGTGGACCATCTAGTGGTAGGGCCTGGCCAGTATTGGATGTCCCAGAGGATGGAGTTTCTGTACCTTGCCCGAGGAGAGGCTTTGCCACTAGTCTGAGATTTCAGAATTCTGGGGTTTGCACCTCTAAATGAAACAGCCGATCATGAAGCAAGAACGTGACAATCCCTCACTATACAGCTTGATAAAATGCCCCCAAACGCAGCCCCTATTTCAAAACACCCAGTACAAGTAAGAGACCAGCAATAGGCAGTGGGTAACTCAGACAATTGTGGATGAGAATGACTAGCAGGTAAAGGAAATTAATAGAGCTGTGGACATACTAACAGAGGCCAGTTCTCTGAAGGTGTTTTCTGTAATGAGGGGGAGGAATCATTGAGTGTGAGTGTAAGTAGGACAAATGCCATGAAATTGAGCAAAGGGTAAATTTCAGCTGAATCTTAAGAAGCATTTCCTAGTAGGAAGATTTGTTTGCCTGTGGAAAAGGGTCCCAAGGGACACAGTGGAGGTCCCATCTTTTTGTATCTTTAAAGCAGGACTGGCCAAAGTGCTAAAGAAGAAACTATGGGAGGAATATTCTGTATGACTGGGAAAGGAGTAGATGAGAAGGACGTAACCTACTACATATTTTGTACTCGTAATTCCTATGCCCTTCTGTTAAGTATGCATGGCCAGGCCAGGCTGTGGTCTGGCACCTCACCTTCATTGTTTCGTTGCTTTCTGAAATGCTTTGATGCATTGGGGAGTCAGCAGGGGGGAATGGTCATCGTTGGGGTCATGCCATGTCAGAAGTCTCACTTTGGGACTGGCAGCATTCTAGGCACTGCACAAAGCCCAGGAAAGAAAAAGGATTTTATCCCTGCCCTCAGTGGCTCAATAGACAGATAAAACAAAATGCAGCAAGAAACCCAGAGGAAGGCTCTGTCTCAGCACATCATTCTGGTGCCAGTATTTTTTGTTGTCATGTATCAACATTTGCAGTAGAACTGAATTTGGAAGGGAGATTTGATGGGAGATTA